TGATGAATCCACACTACATAAATCGTTTGATGTCCCTTGAGGAATCTCGTTGAGGTAATTCTTTAAGGTCAACGTTAACCTTGTAAAAGATTTTTGTATAAATTTTTTGGAATATGATGTAGAATGAAATCTCGCGTGTACACCAACATAATTTCTTTTCCCTCCTAACCTTTGAACGATCTTTTTGGAGGCATCTAGTACAACAGGATTATTTAGTGTGAGAGATTCATCTATCTTATCCCAAAATATTTGATCTTGAGCTGAACCTTTATCGATTAACCCTTTGCCTGATAAGCAATCGAAGGATATCAGTTTCTCTTTACGCGAACGAATAGAATCCAATGATATTTTCGTTAATTCACAGACATTTTGTTTTGAATTCGTAACGTTTAACATTTTTTCAAGTTTAATCTGATCAAAATCTCTCCTGTGTGATATGTGAATTTTCTGTTTAATCAAATTCAAGTTGAATAAGGAATCCCAACGTAATAAAGAGTAAGAATCAAATCCATTCAAACAATTCAGATCGATTTCATATTTCGTTTCTTTTTGTTCAGGAATTTTGATTTTATTAAAGCATTCTGATTCGTGTTTATCCACGCGAAGTGTATCTAACTTTTGACGTAATGCTTGGGAATTAGTGAATCCAATATTTAATCCCAATATAATGGGAGGAATAATTAGAGTTCGATTTAGAGAATGGGCCAAGAAAACCGCATTTTCTAACTCTTCCCTTTGTTGAAAAAGATTCCCATGAGAAAGAAATGTCATGAACTTTTCATACTTTGAATTGGAAGGGAAATAATCTTTATCATCATCATCTATCAAAGAAATATTTGATTTGTTCACCTCATCATCATCATCATCATCATAATTTGAATTATGTTGTGAGCGTAGCAAGATTAGAAGACAAATGCTGAAAAGTATTATGATAAAAACATTTCGTTTTATTGAAGGTAAGAAATGTCCTTGAAAATAATTTTTTAGCCAACCTATATTTGTCGTTTTTGGTATATCGTCAT